TGATATTAACTAACTTAACTAAATGTTATGTCTACATTCCTGATAATTCTGACAATGTTAAAGATTATTCCCTAAAAAGGACCTTATTAGGCTTTGTTAGGCCTTGTTACGGGGACAATTTCTCAGGTATTTCCACCTCCTGGTAAACAATTATTAATTTCTGTCATTTTCATGATATTCATGGACAGGTTTTCAGGTGCTACAACTGCTATTTTGTATTAATCTTGTTTCAATACTAATCATGTTTTTGTTGTTGTTGTTTCTCTCATATAAGTGCCTACTCCCAAGTAAATTTACAACCTGTTCTTCCTGAAACAGATTTTTACCATGGACTCTTTGATTCTGTCAAGGGACTCCAAACTGCTTGCCCACTGCACACCGGCCCCTCTCAGCTCAAAGTAGCAAGAATGGTCATCACCCTTTTCCCTTACAGGAGTAGGGGGTCCCTAACATTAGAAAAAAAAAAATAGATTGCCGCAGTCTGGCTGGGCACAATTCAGGAGCCACTTGTCAAAAGAAATGAGAAACGAACTTTATTTTTAGAACACACACACCACACCACACAGCTCCTCAAGAAAACCCTCAGAGCCCAACTGCCACCACCGGCTTCCCACAAGCCTCTCAACCTCCCCCACTCCTCCTGCTCTTGAGGCCGATTGGCTGGGTCACGTGGGTGAAGCCAAAAAAGTCCCCCAAGAGTAGCTCCCTGGTCTGAAAGGGCGGGGAAACAGCCCAATGAGCATCACCGCAGAGGAGCCAATCAGTTGGCAGCTAGAAGTTTGCTGGGGCCGCTGTGAGCCAATCATCAGCTGGCAGCTGGAAGTTTGCTGGGGCCCCTTCAGCTGTGGCTCTCAACAATAGATGTTCGCCAATATGTCTAGCTCAGGAAGATGTACCTGGGAAACTACTCCCAAGATCACCCTGGGTAATCTCCCAGAAAGACACTTGCTTCCACAACCCAACTTATAAATGGAACAACTCCCCGTTCGCCAAAAATTGTGCTTCCCTGGTCCCACTTCAAACTCCTTGCCTAAATCTCCAAACTGTCAATAACTCTGAACTATGTAATTTACTATTTTGATGGAGTAAAAGGAAAAGAACACCTGGACTTATTACAAGGCCAGGGCCCACTGATTTATCAACAGACTGGCTGCCCCCATTTAGTTCCCCTCCTGGCTGGTTTGGGAATAGCTAGATCTACTGCTTTAGGAACTGCAGCTCTTATCACTGGCTCGAAGAATTTTAAGTCCCTTAGCTGCCAAATAGATATAGATTTAGAAAAATTAAAAAGGTCAATCTCCAAACTAGAGGTTTCACTAGACTGACAGAAATAGTCTTACAAAACAGATGAGATCTAGATGGTCTCTTTCTGAAACAAGGAGGACTTTGTATGGTTCCAGGAGAAATTTGTTTCTATGCAAACCATTCTGGGATAATAAAGAACAGTTTGGCACTAGTGAGAAACAAGTTAAAGGAAAGAGGGAAAGCACTAGAAACTTCAGGCAATTGGTTCCCAAAACCTATTCTCATGATCTCCTTGGTTGACTACCATCATTTCAGCTGTAGTTGGGCCCCTAGTCCTTCTCCTGATTGGGATTACCGTAGGACCATGCCTCTTAAAAACCCTCCTAAACCATATATACAAAAATGTAGGTGAGGTCAGACTTATGGTCTTGAGAGCTCAATGTGGTCCCTTAGACACAAAAGGATGAAAAAGAAACTGAGGCCTAATGATGTGCAAGATTGACATCAAACCTACTAAAACAGTGGGGAATGTGATAGAAGCAGCAAAGTGTGACTCCATTTTGTTTTATACTTCATCCTGTAAAACAACCATGCCAAGTAGAAGGGTCATGACTGGGGCAAGATGTTCTTTTCCTTTTTCCTATAGAAACCTTTAAGAACACGGAACTACCCAATGGGGCATTGTTTCTGTAACTAGGGTAATGGGGTTCTGTTTCTGAAACTGGGGTGACTGGGCTGATTGGTTAGGCTTCCCGCAGCTTGACTGCACTCTCCTGCTTTTTTTTTTTTTTTAATTTTTTATTGTTGGTTGTTCAAAACATTAAAAATTTCTTGACATATCATATTCCACACTTTGATTCAAGTGGGTTATGAACTCCCACCTTCACCCCATACACAGATTGCAGAATCACATCAGTTACACATCCATTGATTTACATATTGCCATACTAGTGTCTGTTGTGCTCCGCTGCCTTTCCCATCCTCTACCATCCCCCCTCCCCACCTCTCCCCTCCCCTCCCCTCCTCTCTCTCTACCCCCTCCACTGTATAACCCTGAGGGTCTCCTTCCATTTCCATGCAATTTCCCTTCTCTCTCCCTTTCCTGCTTTTGTAACCTGGCTTGCTTGCATTGGCTAGACCCCTGAACATCCTTTTTGCGGTTTTCAGGCTTATAATAAGGAGCGCTCTTGCATTTGTTCAGGGCTGATCAGGGGATTTATGCACAGCTTTATGTTCTGGTCAGCTGCCACCAGCGTGCTTCAATAAAGGCTTGATTCGATTATACGTGAGTGGTCTGGAAGTCAGTTTATGAAACCCCGGGACAAAGCTTTAACTATAACACATTGATCCCTGATAGAAATTAACTAACTGTAGGTGGGTAGGGTGTGGGGGGGAGGAAGTGCTACTGGAGTCATGCCTTTAGGGTATACTTTTTGTCTGTGGTGAAGGGTCTCTGTGCTTCCTGGTGCCATGTCACCAGAAGCTTTCCTGTCACACACTTCCCTCCACAATGTTCTGCCTCACCTCAGGCCCAAAGGAATGAAGTTGGCAGTCTATAGATTCAGATATCTGGAAACCATGAGCCTCCAAATAAACTTTTCCTTCTTAAAACTGTTCTTAAAAACAGGAAAAGCCTCCATTTGCTAGCCAAATGTTACAGTCCCAGTTATTACAGAGCAACAAAGCAGCCAAAAATGTAACCAAATACAAGGAAAAAAGAACCATAGAAGAGCTAAAACAAATTTTCCAAATCTGACTTAACTCTGGAATGATGCAAGCACTGGGGAGATTCAACGGAGCACAGCAAAAAGTAAAGCAAATGGGGACTTGAGATCTGGCTGCAACATTCGATAATCCCCCATCCCACACACAGAAAAATCATCAGAAAGTTTATAGACTCAAAATATCTGATGTCCTTCTCTGTTCAGATCATTAATGGACTATTAAGGTATACAGACACAGGAGCCAGCCCTCAGGAGCCAGGATAAAACTTGAAATAAATAATAAAAGGTCAATAGAGCAAGAAGATATAACAGTGATAAATGAACATATAAATTTTACAATATAGCCTCAAAATATATGAAGCAATAATTGACAGATTTAAAAGCAGAGATACTCTACAGAAAGAGAGGTAGTGACATTGCTATATTAGTAATGTAACAGCCACATAGAGAATCAGGCATACAACAAACAATACTATCAACCAACCTGTTGAACAGACATAGAATACTTTACCCAACAGAGCATATGTTTCTAGTTCACATAAGAAACATTCTCCAAGGTACATATTCTCCAATGTACAATGTTGTTCATAAAATCATCTCAATAGATGAAAGAAGGATTGAAATTATACAACGGTATTCACGAACCACATCAGTGGCTGGCAAACCAAACCCACAGGAAGAATGCAGCTCACACTATTTTGAATAAACAGTTTTTTTGGAGTTTAATTACAACCATTCCTTAATGCCATGCAGAACTGAGTAGCTGGGAACAAAATTTTATAAATACAAAGGCAACAATTGCAGAAAAATAACTCAGGAAATTCTCAAATGTTTGGAACTCATAGACAAACAAAAATAAACCACTGGTCAATGAGAACATCACAAGAAAAATTAGGAAATAGCCAGAACTAAATTAAAATGAAAACATGTCATCGTAAAATACACGAGATAAGGCCAAAATAGCACTAAGGAATTTTGCAGCTTAAACAAAGAAAAAGCCTCCACCTTAAAAAACTACAAATGGAAGAGCAAATCAAGACTAAAGTAGGTAGGAAAAAAATTATCAGATCAAAAATCAATGAAATAGAAACACAAAGGAAGAAAATCAACAAAATCAAAAGATTAATTATTTCAAAAGTGCAACAAAACTGATTTAGCTAGTTTATGCTAGATTAGCTAGAAAGACTAAGAAAAAAGAAGAAAAATTAAACAACTACATTGCACATGTGTGCTCCAGATACTGCAGTGAGCTTTTTATATTAACCTAAACATTTCCTTGAAGACTTTCAATCTCAAGCTATTGAGACTTTGAGGGAGATTATGAACATTATGAAAATCAACTGGAAAAAATTAAAGACAAATTCTTCCAAATTTAGATATAAGCCAAATTTATTAAAACTGAAGAAATAGAAATCATCAACAATGATACTTACAAAAGAAGCTAACGCCATAATTAAAAATCTTTCCATAAAGAAAATTCCAGGTCTGTATGGCAGTACTTATAATTCTTTCTAACACTTGAGATGTAAATGAATTGCACTTTATAAGATCTGAATGACCTTCATACTAACACCTGGCCAAGTCATAATAAGCAGAAAAATTCCTTCATGGATCTAGACAAAACAAAAAATCTTTAATAAAATTTAAAATTTTAATAATATTAACAAGTTGAATCCAATGATTTGTAAATACCATAGCATAACCAAGGGTTTTTTAATACAGAAATGCAAGTACAGAAATGCAAGTAGAGTTTAAATTTTTTTTTTCACCAACAGAAGAAACAAGAAAATCAAATGACTGTTTCAGTAGACAAAGATAAACAGAATCTTAATTTCTAAAAAATCTCATCAAAATAAAAATATGAAGAACTTTCTTAATATGATAAAACATATGTGAAAAGTTTACAGCCAACATTATACTTCATATTAAAAAACTGAATGCTTGAGCACAAAGCAGGAAGACTGCTTCCACTCAACAGTATACTGAAAGTCCTAGAATAAAGCAAGATGAAAATATATAAAATGCAAAGACTAAAAGAAGTCAAAATGTCTTTATTCACAGATGTTGACAGTATACACATAATATATGCATAGAAAATCCTATGGAATCCTAAAAACAAAAAACTAATGATCTGAATTTGACGTGGTCATAGAATATAAACAAAAAGTATATACAAAAATAAGTTGTACTTCTATACATTAGAAATTAGCACTTGGAAAATGAAAAAATAAAATTTACCACAGCATTAAGAAACATGCAATGCCTACCAATCAATTTAACAAAAAATGTGGAAACTCAGGAAAGGCAATGAAATACGGGTCTTTGAACCTCCCAGAAACAGAGGAGACAACTCCCTTGGGAATGTCTTAGTGCAAAGGCAAAGAAAAAACCAGCCAATTGTATGGTAACACCCTGTTCAAAGGGAAATTCCTTACTAGCCAAGTTTTAGTTCATAACCTTGGGTTCAAATACTTGCTGCCCAGAGGTAGAGAATTATAGCCAAAAGCTGATAAGCCTAATGGGCTGCTTTTACCCTCAGCTTCAGTTTTATCTTGAAGAGGCTTTCTGACAATAAATCCTTCTGATGTTTAAACCTATATAATAAATGTGCCAAGCTTGCTTGTGGTCAGTCTTCCTCCACCAGAGGCAGGCTGAACCAAACCACCCTGCCTTTTCCTCTAGTTTATGTGTCTTTTCATAATCCCCTTACTGACTAGTTTGTGTTGCCCTGAATACACTTTCACACAGGATGGACATTTGGCACCTGAACAGGGACCAACACAGACACACAAGGAATTCACTTTTCAAGGTGAGTGGAATGCTCCTAAAAAAGATACATGTCCATTAAAGTAGGAAGGAGACAAGCGAGTCTTTATACATAGCTTGCTGTAAAATTCAGAACAGTTTAGAAGAAAGGGATCCCTATGTTACTATGTTGAAGACTATGTTTAAATTACAGGACAGCCCCATAGAGAAGGCAGTTGCCACAGCTTTTAGAATTTGTTATTAAAACTTTTCCTTGGTTACTTGAGGAGGGAGCGGTAGGTGTAAAGTCATGGGAGAAACTCAGTGAACATGCATGCTAGCTATGTGACCAAGGAACTGGACAAAATCCCCATGGTCTTTGATATGAAATTGTCTTGATCCATCTTGTAATCACATGAAATGTTTGGCTTCTGACCTGATTTCTGGCTTTAGAAACACTGTTAAAGGCTGTAAAAAATAAACACTCTTCAGCCTGTAGCATCTCCTACAGCCCTTCCCCTGCTCAGTAGAAGCTGTTTCCTGAAATGTGAGTGGGAGTTGAAACTCTGGCCACAGCTTTAAGAGAAGTTTTGCAGGGCTGGAGTTGTGGCTCAGTGGTAGAGTGCTTGCTTTGCATGTGTGAGGCACTGGCTTCTTTTTCATATAAACAAATAATTAAAAATAAAGGTCCATCAACAATTAAAAAAAATTAAAGAGTTTTTCAGCCTTCCTGGAAAACTTAAAAACTTAAAATTCCAAAAGGAAGTGAGCCTAGACGCTTGGCCAGAGACTATCAGCAGTTATCTGGTCATAAAAACAAACCAGGCCTCTGCCCATGCAGCCATTGTGATAAACATTAGGGTAATGAATGTAAATTACAAATATAGACAGACAATTTTGCCTCCTCAGTTAAAACCTCATTGGGATAGGGTCTTCAGAAAAAACATAAACTATAGCACCACATTTTCAGAGAATCATGTAAGATTTAAGACCACAGGAAAAAAGTAGCCCTTTTAAAAATTCAAGTGATTTCTGACTTGACGGCCTAAAGAGAAAAAGATGTCATGTTTAAATCTGAGCCTCTTCTGTTCTGCCTTAACTTGGTATCTTTACCACACTGTTAATAACCTCCCCTGAATGCTTGAGCACCAAGAGGGAACAATGGAAAGATTCTAAATATGTTTTCCCTTTTTAAAAAAACTTTTCTGAAGATTTTACTCTATATTTTAAATATCTGAACTTACTCTAATCTGAACTCAAAGTGAACTGATCTCATAAAGTTGTTCAACATGTCTCTTTACAAGAATAATTATGGCTTTTGTTTTGCTCTTTAAAAAACCCTATATTTTTGAGCTCATGATTTCATGGCAAATTCATATTTGAGCTTTATGTGCCTAAATTAATGTATTTTCCTAATCAGTTTTATTTTATCTAACACTCTTTGTTGAGGCCAATTTTTCAAGGGTTGGCTCTCAAATGCATTAAAAAATTCCCAAGGGAGGTATTGCCTGTCACTTGGCAGTTCAAAGAGCATAATTCATTCACCATTCTCAACATCTCCCCCTTTGTTTTTTTTTCTTTTCTTTTTTTTTTTTTAAACACAAGTGATGAGCTAGTATTTGAAGTTCTCAGATGCCTTGCTGGAAGATATGGCAACCTATTATTACAACACAAAAGAGAATTAGTAGCAAAAACATATCATACTGAATGTTTTAACATATTCCCAGGATTAAAACCATTTAAATGATGTAACTCCTTAGGTCTAAACTGTCATTATTTCTGTGCCAGATACCCACTAAATAATTTTTAACTTCCCAATCCCCTTGAGAAGCATTATATTTGGCAACTGTAACACAAATAAATTTGTAGCCAGTATGTATTGTGAGATCAACTTATCTCTATGGTATTATTTGTCATGTAAAGAGGAATAATTCCTTTTTTTTTGGGGGGGGGGGTAGTGGGGATTGAACTTGGGTACTCAACCACTGAGACACATCCCCAGCCCTATTTTGTATTCTATTTACAGACAGGGTGTCTCACTGAGTTGCTGAGCATCTCGCTTGTGCTGAAGCTGGTTTTGAACTCATGATCATCCTGTCTTAGCTTCCCAAGCCTCTAGGGTTTCAGGTGTACACCATTGCACCCAACTCTTATTTTTTTTTTAATGAAATTAAAAAAAAAAAAAAAAAACACACACAAAAAATGTGGTTTAACAAAGCCTATCATAACTTCATTCTTTCTCAGACCCCAGATACCAAACCTGTTTTCAATGTGTATGTATATTTAACTATTAAAGAGTCATGAAGAGGGTCAGCCTAAAAATAATTCACATGAAATAAACTTCTTTAGAACTGACAATCTTATAATATATATTTATAGCCCCCCCAAAAAAAAAATCAAAATTCAACTTTGTTAGCAGAGTTGTTTCCTGAAGCATTTCCTTTTAATATTAAAAGGAGCTAAGGAGGCCACATGCAGAAAGCAATGGCGCAGGGTACCACTTCCAGCAGAAAATACAAACAGAAACAAGATGGAAGAAAAGTTCGAATTGTTATAATTAAACAAATGTCATGTGAGGACATTTGCATGCCAAGCAAGAATATCATTTGACAATGGAGGCAGGGATTGTAGTAGTAGTAGGTGCAAGCCAAGGAATACCAAAGATTGCCAGCATTTCAAGAGAAATCAGAAAGAGGGAAGGAATCATTATTTCTCCAGGTTTCTGAGACATCATGGCCCTCACAACACCTTAATTTCAGACTTCAAGCCTCCATAACTAAGATAACAAATTTCTATTAGTTTAAGTCACTCAGTTTGTAATAATTTGTTACAGAAGCCCTAGAAACAAACATTTACCACAGTTCTTTAATGCTCAATAATTAAAAATGAGAATTTGGGAAAACTAATTTTAAATCAACTGACATTAATCAGCTCTCTTCTGGTAAAAATATATGTCCTATATTCATTGAAGGAGTAGTGGTTTTGGTATGCTTTTCATGTTGTTAAAATAATATCACTACAGATGATGTGTGTTCACAAAAAATTCGAAGATACTCGTCCGAGTATGAAATGTTTATCTAATACACATTTACACAAAGCTGAATAAAATTTTTATTTTAAAATAACACAATTACAAAAATAAATGTCAACTATACAAGCTGCTTTATACATGTGTGTACATGTATATTTTATACACATATACATAAATACCCACACATATTTAAACTTGCTTCATCCTTCATCTCTTAATTTGAGTAAAAAGAAGAATACTTTCATCATTCAGGAGATTTTTGATGTTGTAATAATTACCTAAAAGTAAAATAATAAGAAAATAAAATTATTTTCACAGGAATCATTTACTTTTGAATTAAGTATTTAGTCATCACCTGAAAGTTACAGTACATAAAACATAAGATAAAAAGAATTCACTTAAACTGAAAGATCCAAGAGCTAACCACCATCTATTGATCCAGATAAGGCTTGAAAAATACAAAATTTACATTATTTCATAACAAATGCAGAGTTAAGTTAGACAAGGGCACAGGGAAAGGAAATCTCTTTTTGAAATCAATCTTTGAAATTGCTGTGGATTTCCCTAAATACGTATACAGTGTTAAGTAAAATAAAATCTCAACATTTAAAAAAGACAAAGACTGGTCTTAATAATAATAAATAAGGTAATAAATAACAAAAGTGAAATATCCATGGTCAGCATCACATACAGTAGGTATATTAGTATTAAGTATTATTTCTGTGATTTTCTATTTATCAGAAATTGATACATATTGACCAAATTCATATTTACAACAGTATTAGCACATACTACAGACTACATAAACACAGTTATTATTATTGTCTCCCTACATAATGTAAGCTTTGTTAAGTTTAAATTTTTTCCTGTTTTGTTCACTATATTTATCCCAAACTCTTAAAGCAATGCTTGGTCATAGTAAACTCTTAATTTATATTTGTCAAATGGATGAATGAACAAATGAATGAATTAAAGTATCTGTTTCCAAAAATTTGTGTACTTCAATAGCACATTATTTTATATGTTTAAAATAATCCACTAAAAACTGTTCAGCTACAATATCTCAGAGACACCAGGGAGGAAATAATTACCCTTTACTAACAGAATGCAACATATGTTCTAATTAGTATTTTTATATTCTAACATAAACTTATTCAATTTTCATGTATCAATATACTAATATACTTACCTAATGATGAAAGAAAAATATGTACCAAACTGCTTTGTAATCAATTGTGTTGCACTTTGTTGATAACTAAGGCTTCCATTTTCATGCTGCATGTGAACAACTATATGGAGACTATAACTATGTGAAATAAAATGTCTTTAGTTATTCTTACCTGAAGGAACATAGAAAGAATCCCCAGTAGTTATTAAATAAGGTGATTCAAATAAAGTACACAAAAGGTCACCAAAGTGAACATAAAAGATCTGTAAAATCAAAAAGTAAAATCTCATTTCAAATTGAACTTCAAAAACCATCAAAGGAAATGCAGTAGTCAGAATAACAACTCCCCACAGATGATGATGCTCTAATATGTAGAACCTATAAATATGTTAGCAAACAGGATCTTGAGATGGCAGATTAATAATCCTTAGTAAGGTTATGGTTTGGATATAGGGTAACTCCCAAAAATTCCTATGTGAGAAAATGCAAGAATGTTCAGAGGTGAAATTATTGGATTACAACAGTCATAACTCTGATCAATACATTAATTCATTTGAATGGATTAAATGGGTGGAAACTATAAGCAGGTAGGGTTAGGGTGTGGCTAAAGAAAGTAAATCACTGAGGGTTTAAACTTTTGTCTCTGCCTGTCCCTCCCTCTCCCTTCCCTTCCCCACCCCTCATCCTCCCTCTTTCCTTAGTAGCTGGCATGAACTGAGTAGTTCTCCTCCAGCACACTCTTCCACCATGATTTTCTGTCTCCCTTCTGCCTCACACCAGGCCTAGGGGCTAAATGCTGTCAACCACGGACTGAGTCACTGAAACCATGATCCAAAATAAACTTTTCTTCCTAATTATATGAGACTTTAAAAAATAAAAAACTTTCTCCAGGAAGCAGAGGAAAAACAAGGCAGAAAGAGAAGGCAGAGACATTTGAAGCACAAAAAGACTTTGTATTGCTATAAAAGGAAACCATTGGCCAAGGAGCATGGATTATTTCTATAAGTTGAGAATAAGATCCTGGCCAACAGCCAGAGACCAAATGAAAACCTCAGTCCTATAAACACAATGAACTGAATTCTGTCAACAATATGTATAAAACTAGAGAAATTTGTAACCTGATTCATCCTCAGAGTCAGTCTCCACAAAAGAACACAGACCCACCAACATTTTAAGGAAAGTTACAGCCTACACTGGTTCTCTACCTTGTCCCTTTATTGCTTTTTAAAGCATGTGTTTCATGTTTTAAAAATGTAAAAATACTCTTCATATTATTATTACTAAGAAAAACACCTTAACTCTCATTTTTATAAGAAAATTAGAGAATAGTTAAAAGAAATAATTATCAAGTATAATCACACAGTAAGGTTACTTTTCTACATTCTTTTTAACTTGTCATTTACATTTTGAAATTGTAGACAGGAAAAAAGATAAAGTATTTTCTATATTGTACCATAAACATTACTGCAAAGATAATTTTATGACTAGTCGTGAAAATAATATGCTAAAAATAATTTTAAAATGCTCAGTGCAGTGCCTGGAAGTGCTATAATATTTATTATATCATATAAAAGCTCATCCTATTAAGTCAAAATAAAAATATAACCATTTTCCTCCTGCAGCACATTTTACTAATTTCCAACTTTTGCAATTATAGTCAATGTTACAATAAATACATATGATCAGCTTCTTCTCCTCCCAACTTTAAAATTATTACCCTAGGAAAAATTTCTAGAAATGACATCCATAAGTCACAGGGTATGAATATTTTTCCAATAATTTGTACTAACTGAGTAACTGTAAAGTGTTATTTGTTTTTAAATTTGAATCACCCTGAGTACTCTAAGTATTAAGCAGGTTAAATACTTTCAAATGTTTTTTATTCAAGTTTCCTTTTTACATAAAAAGGCAGTATAGTGATGATACCATAATATTATCTTCATTAATATTCTTTCATCATTTCACAGGGAATATTTATGCTTTAAAAAATGTTATTTTATTCTTTAAATAATGCATGGAGATAAGAGCATGTTAAGACTGAATTCATGAAAATTTCAAATTACTCAAAAACAGAATTCTTGTTATACTTCCTCCCCTTTGACCTTACTTTGTCAGTAAAAATTATTTTGAATGTGATACTTCAATAACTCATGATTTCACAGATTCCTCAAATGTCCCATACCAAATGATATTCCTTAGTTATATCATTTTTAAAGTGATGTTATAATGTTAAACATCCTTAAAATTTGACGCTTTCCAAATTCTACAATTTTCAAATTAAAAATACAGAAATATACAGATATATGCATACATATACTAAAAGACCAATTTTTCAGAATAGCTCCAACAGGGTATTAAAGAGGGAGAAAGACTGAGTGACTGTTTCACTTTGAACCTCATTATAACTTTAATCAGTAATAGTGTTATATATATATAATAGTTTTTTACCTAGTACTTACTAAAGCAACTAGCTCTTAATCTTGAGTCTACTGCTAACTACTTAAATTTTTTAAGTCTTTTAACTTCTGTTTCTCAACTGCATGACCAGAGGAATTTGGAATTAAACTTGATCTCCAAAATCCCCTCAGATATAAAATTCTTTTTTAAAAATATTTTTTTAGTTGTAGATGTGCTGAGGATCAAACCTAGTGCCTCATGCATGAGAGGCAAGTGCTCTACCACTGAGCTATAACCCCAGCCCTCAGCTGTAAAATTCTAATGATTTGTTTGAAAACTTGATTTTAAGAAAACTAGATTTTAAATAAAGACCATTCCTTAGAACTAGGAACCTCAAGGTTATAGTGCTATATACAGAAAAGGTGCTGTTAAGTTGGCTGGTTGATTCTGAACAGATTTTAAACAAAAAATAAAACATCTGGGCTGGGGTTGTGGCTCAGTGGTACAGTGCTCACCTAGCATGAGTGAGGCAATGGGTTCGATCCTCAGCACCACATAAAAATCAAATAAAGACATTGTGTCCACCTAAAACTAAAAAATAAATATTTAAAAAAATAAAAAAAAATTTATGCATTGTAGTGACAGAATTTCATTAGTAAGGAAACAGCATTTTAATGCCCCATCCAATCCAATAAAGTGAAGTAGCATCTATAACAAAGCATAAATAAATGAAGAAATATACTTACTAATATATCTTGGCCAACATGCTGTTTTCCCTTTTCTTCATAGGGTCCTAATATCAATTTCCCAGTAGAAAATAAAGGTGTATCCAAAGTTTTATATACTTTCAATCCACCATGTTCCACAAAAAACTGATATGTATCTTGTGGCTTTATAAGATCTAAGAGGAAATAGTAATATAAAATAATAGTAATGATAATGCTCAATGACAAAAACATGTACACATGTATATTATGTGTACTTCTAGATATAAAACCTGCCTTAGAAAGACAAAAATAATTAAGATCATTGATTTTGTAGCTGGAATGCCAGAAATCAAATCTTGCATTTCTTACATTAAGCTCTCTCTCTGTACCTCAATTTCCTTTTCTGTAAAAATGAATAATGATAGTTAATCTGTATTAAAGAGTTGCTGTGAACATCAAAGAGTTAATGTATGCAAACAATTTAAAACAATGTCTGACACAAAGTGAGTGCTTTGTTACAACCAAGATGGAAAATAAAATTAAATGAGAAACAAGAAAAAACTCAGTATCTTTAAAAAGTTTTACATGGACCAAAATACAAATTTATGATCATCATAACAATAAATTATTTTCTGCTGCTGCTAATTTTCTACTTGACTGATGTTTAAATAATGAGATTTTTATTTATCAAGAAAAGGCTACTAGAAGTCAGAGTTTTAACTGTTGCTCACAAATTACTATCTCAATTTCAAAAAGCTCCCTTTTATTTAAAAACTTCCTTTCTGGACCTGTAATTAATATACTCCTTAATCATCAGTTTCTGACATTATTATTTCTCTGGGAACATTAGTGTTCCCCCAGATGCAGAAAATGTGCAGATTTACCAAAGAAAGTGAACTGTTAACAACACTCACAACTTTTCTAACCTACTAGAGAACAGCAATTTTTTTTAAATCAAAGAAATTTAATAACATTTCAGGAAACCAGAACATAGGATTACTAAACTTGAATACAAAAGTCAAGAGAGGACCAACTAGGATTATAGAATTTAAAAAGTAGATTAAATTTGTAAACAAACACACAGTTAATGAATTAAAAAAGAGAATAGAGAAATTCCTACAGAAGAAGCACAGCAAAATATAAACTACAGTATGAGAAATCATTGAAAATAAGATGCTTGACTGTTAGAAGGGTATTAAAATGACTCCTAACATTATGCATGACAAAAAAAAAAAACAACAAAAACACTTTTTAAATATCAATGTTTTTTACACTAAACACTTTTCTTTTTTTTAACCTCTGTTATCAAATAATCTCAATGTAGAAATACTTTAGCTAAGACATAACATATCAAATGGAATCTATTTCACAGCCAAAATTTTAAGTGGAATACAATAATGACCTTACTGGTCTTCTGACTTAAGACAAAGAATCTTCAGTACTAACTGGTACAACTAACAGTTTTGAAGATATTTAAGTATTTCTCACATATAAATATTGCCTGGTTGGTAAAAAGCTAAATTTTCCCTAAACCCCCACCCCACTATAACATGTCCCTTGGAACCTCTTATGGCCTCCCAGAACTAAGTGTTTAATACCTGTATAATAGAGTAGGAGGCTTCTAGGATCTTGTGCCAGCCTTCAAGTTAAGGCTAGCATTTGTATGGCTGATTGATGCCCTTGATGGTGATCCTCACAAAAGTTTCACAATCCAGGTACCATTACTGGCATTTGTAGGACCAGAAGACTATCTGTGCCAGGCCAATAATTCCTGCTTGCTCCCACAGTAAGAGTATATCCTGGGATCTGCCAGCTAACATGGTAAAATTCACCATTCCCCATGAAAAGACCCTACAACCATATGTCCTAGACCCCGTGTGAGGAGACGACACTCCCGATGGTAGTGTTAGCACCTGTACTCCAGAGGACAAATGCCTGATAATACACGTCCTTGGAGGCTATCTACCATCAATGCCCCCCAAAGTTGTCCTCATATAGGCTACTTATTTGAACTGAAATTTAGTACTGAAAGAGCGGGGGGGGGGGGGGGGGGGCGGCGGCAGCGGGGGAGTATGTGGATTGATCATCAAGCCAAGAGTTTCCTCTTTCTTATTGGTAAATTACATATTTTCTGTATCATTTCTGATCTTACCCATGAGAACAATCTCTCTTGTTTCTGGGTCCTTTACTGGTGTTGGCTGCAAAGGATCTCTTAGAGATATATCAACATTTAGTATTAATTTATTCTCTGCAAAAGAAATACCAATGAAATATAAACTAGTTACTTAAAATTAATTCTCAATTATAAAAAAGTACAGTACAAAATATAGCAACAGACAAGTTGCAAACTGTCAGAGACATAACAGACTCTTCCTACTTATAAATGACTACTATAATAAATAAAAATAATAATTAAAAAACCCACAATATTTAAAATAGAAGCAAACACCCTAAACTTCCGATTCCCTATAAGGGACATTATAACATGTCAACTCTTAAATTCTTACATCATCAAAAAAGCCAAACAATGTTCTGCATATTTCCTGAGACACGCAATATACTTCAGAAAAAATTCATTTAACATGTCTGTTGTAAGCATAGTTTCAGTATGGATAACTTTTAAGATTCATTAGACTGGGGAATTTACACATGAAAAGTAAATTTACTCATGTTTTATTTTTTTTTTCTTTCTGGTACTGGAAATTGAACCCAGGGGTGCTTTACCACCAAGCTGCATTTTTTTTTTTCTTTTTCATTTTGAGACAAGGTTTCACTAAGTTATTGAGGTGGGCCTTGAACTTGTGATCCTCCTACTTCAAGCTCCTGAGTCACTGGGATTATATGCATGTACTAGGGCACCCAGCTCAATGCTTTCAAAATTTGGGAAAATGTGGACATTAAAAAGTGAATTTTACCTATAGTATTATATCTGAAGGTTTTCGAGGTAAATAACAATTTTTGGAGTGAGTTCTTCTCAAAGTACTATGTTATTGAAAATACAATCTAAGCTGGCACAGTTGCACATGCCTGTAATCCCAGCAGCTCGGGAGGCTGAGGCAGAAGGATTACAAATTCCAATCCAGCCTCAGCAAAAGCAAAGTGCTAAGCAACTCAGTGAGACTCTGTCTCTAAATAAAATACAAAGTAGGGCTGGGGATGTGGCTTAGTAGTCAAGTGCCCTTGAGTTCAATCCCCAGTGCCCAATAAACAAACAACAAACAAACAAATAAAATCTAAAAGTTACTTTCAGAAATAAGTTCATACTTCTTTCATCATTATGAAGACACATCCTTTTCCTATTAGTTACTTTTTTGACTCTTTCCACGTTTCCTTTTGCCTTTCTTTTAGATGTTACTGTGACTGGGGACAATATTCCACCAATCACAAATTCTCCTGAAATTTAACAACAAAAAAGATACAATATTATATCTGTAAAAGTAAAAAGTTCGAAACAAAACTCTTTAAATATGGTACATTTCCTTTCAAAGAAACAAAGAAAATATTACTGTTACTAAATTTTAGTAGTTCAAATAATAATCAATTGCACTTGTATCTTTAACATGCTAATCTAGAAGCATTGATAAAATAGGATTGATCTTTGTTAATTCCTTGAAATCAGCAGTTATCAGTAGAGGGTTTAAAACAAAACAAAAAAAGCAGAAGCTGGTGATAAACTATTAGTAGTAAGCCACATATGAGTGCCCTTTAACAAAGGAAGGAAATAACTTAAAGATAACACTATACTTCTTAACTCAACCTCTATCATTTTGTAGAAAACTATGATAAGAAAATGGCTTGTAAGAATAATTTTCTCATGTTCTAACAATGCAGATTTTTATACAATTAAAATCCTTGTCAGATAAAACTATAACAATACTCTACAAAACCATACACAAAAATACACCTACCAAAAAGAAAAAAAAAAAATCAGCATCTCTATAGTAATCAGACCAATAAGGATTTGAATCCTTTTCTTATCACATTGGGGGAGAAATGATGATTAAATAAAGTAATGTACCTAAATTGCAGGACACTGTCTAGCACATACTAATCATAAGTTATATTTAATCTTCTTATTGTTTTTATTATCAGACACTACAATGTAAATTAGGTTTTACCTGATGATGTTTCTTGATAATCTATTCGCTCTCCTCGCCAGTATTCCAAAGGTTTAAAACGTATTCTCTTGGTCCTGCGGACATTTGGTGTGTTGGAGGGCAAAACTAGAAAAATGTAAAAAAAAAAAAAAAAAAAAAAAATACATATATAAATGTTTAGTTGGATTATATTTAGCAGTGGAAAGATTAATATTACCTTTTAAAAGATGAATGGTTCTAGATAAAAGACAAGAAAAAACTTTTAAGATACATTTGGGATAATGATTAAAGAGAGTAAAAAATTAGGCCTTTAGATTGGTAAAGACATAAAACTTTAATACCCAGGGTTGACAGTGTTATCTGAAAAATGTTAAGTTCCATATATAAATAGTTTGTTGGCTATATTATCAAATTCCTATGTTCTTACCTATTTTTGTTTTATCTATTTTTTTGCTTAATTCAATTCTGAAAGCAGTGAATTAAAATCTCCCTCCTAATTATATTGTTTAAATTAAAATTTTCTTGCTTTATCTAGTCATTTTTGTTTATGAATATTAATTGATAAATTGTTGGTACACAAATTTATACTTTCTCTGTCCTCTTAAAGTGCTCACTTTATCATTATATGTTCTTCCTTATCACATTTATCAGTTTTAACCTTAACTCCTACTTTGCCTAATATTAACACTAGACTATTTTCTTTTTGTTCACAGTAATCTTCCTAATTATTTTTAACTTTTTATTTTAAAACCTAAGTATTTTTTAAAAATAGATAGGTTTGTATTATTTAACCAAACCCAATACTTGAGAAAGTCAATCCATTCACATTTGTTCAGTTTAACAACCTGCTTCCTTTAATTCCCTTCATCTCTATTTATTTACTGATTTATTGATTAATACCAGGAATTCGATGCAGGGGAGCTTAACCACTGAGCTACATCCCTAGCCCTCCTAGCCCTCTTATATTTTATTTGTTTTTTGAAACATGATCTCACAAAGTTGCTTAGGGTCTCTTACTAAGTTGCTGAGGCCCACCTCAAACTTGCAATCCTCCTGCCTCAGGCTCCCAAATCACTGGGATTACAGGTATGCACCACCATGACCTGCCATCTTATTTATATTAATATGAGTTACTTTACATCAATGAGTCTTCTTTGTCTTCATTTTCATTAGTTTGATTAAATGACCATTTATTTTCTCCATTCTTTTCTTGGTAACTTCAAGGATTTGCTGTGCTTTTATACTTTAATATTGGTTACCTTGCCATTCCTGATACTCTATGATTATATCAAACTGATAGCCCTGGAACTAGAGTTATAGTTCAATGGTAAAGCACTTGCCTGGCAGCAAGCTGAGTTCAGTCCTCAGCACTGCCAAAAAATAAAAATAAAACATATAACCCTATTATCAAGCAAGATATCACTGGTAAAAATGACACATTTTATACTACTTTTACTACCCCTTTTTTGCACCTTTCCTCCCCACCATATCATTTCCTCCTTATCATGCCAAGTTTTGTTAAATAACCAGGATTACAAGGTATATCTCTAAAAATCCTTAGTTAAGCACTTAAAAATTCCCTGACATATTATGTCATATCATGTGGTACATATATACTAAGCTAATGGGCAATGGGTCACACACACCCTTCTATAATCTCCTCTTTAAAGTATGGTAGAGACCTGTACTTTAGAGAACCATGACTTTGTTCTAATCAACAACTATGTCAAAAGTAGTGGGGTGCCACTCTGTGATCACATTATTTTATCGACATACTACTTTACATATGGCATAGAAAGCCACTCCATCACACAAACATGAGCTGTTCCATGAATCTTGACTGGTAAGTATCTTCTGGGGAACCGTGGATTTTGAATCGTCACATGAATCTCTTCATGGGCTCACAGTTCTCAACTTTGTCTATTTACCATTCGAGCCACTTAAGAATTAACTGTATAAAAGTGGAAGAAGCTGTTGGGGATGGATATTATCTACTTAGCAATTACATTTTCAGAGAATTTTTAATTTTGATTACACAAAATGAAAAATCGCTACCTACTACAGGCAGAATGAGAAGACTATAAAACCTTATAAATGGTTAACAGACTGACTCAGTGGCCTATGACGACTTATTATAAAATTTATGAGAACTAAATGTGTGATTTTAATTTATCTACAAAGAAATCCAAATAGTATTATTACTTCCCCTGCTTACAAAAAATTAAGCTATATTTAGAAACAAACTTAATTCTAGTTTTCTTTAATGGAAGTATTACAAGATAAAATTATTTTACTTAATTTATGATGTGTTTTCTTCTCTGGTGACACTTTAGTTCTTTTCAGTCTTGAGTCATCTGAAAAATGCAAAAGATAGCATAATGAGCAATGGTTCTTAATTCCATGTTGATAAAGTATGTCATTTTGCCAACTTCTGTGTAAATATTTTAAATACTGCCCTAATAACACATTTCATAACATTTTGCTTTCATTACAAAGAAATAAAAACTAAGGAAAAACAGTGCTTCCATGAACACATCTTGAAAGTGTAACATTTAAAAATAACAAAAACCAGGGCTGGATTGTGGCTCAGCAGTAGAGTGATTGTCTGGCATGTGTGAGGCACTGGGTTCAATCCTCAGCACCACAGAAAGAAAAATCAATCAATCAATCAATCAATTAATGAATTAATTAAAGGTTAAAACAAACAAACAAACAAACAAAACCCAACCAAACAAGTTTTCTATCGCTTATGGACACAGGAATAAGCTATTAGTGGATAAAAATGCAGGGCATGATAATGAATTCATAATATGCTAATTATGTCATCTATGACTTATCTGCAACTTTCTCTTTAAAATTCTAAAACAGTACAAATGTCCTCAATTTACCAGAGTGTCAAAGAACTCTAGGGTTCTCAATTTTACGTATGATAAACAGCACTAAAGATAGTTATTATCAATTCTTTCCCTTCCCATGCATAAAGTTATTGATGGACCCTTATTTTATTTACTTATTTATGTGTGGTGCTGAGAATTGAACCCAGTGCCTCACACATGCTATGCAACCATTCCTCCACTGAGCCACAACCCCATTCCCCAACTATTCTTTATCAACAAGCAAAGACTCATTTCTTTCTTGAACCTCTATTTTACTTAAGACTTGTATTGTTGAGAGCCACAGCCGAAGGGGCCCCAGCAAACTTCCAGCTGCCAGCAAACTTCCAGCTGCCGGCTGATGATTGGCTCACAGCGGCCCCAGCAACATCTAGCTGATTGGCTCCTCGGCCCCAGCAACATCTAGCTGATTGGCTCCTCTGCGGTGATGCTCATTGGGCTGTTTCCCTGCCCTTTCAGACCACGGAGCTGCTCATTGGGGGACTTTTTTGGCTCCGCCCACGTGACCCAGCCAATCGGCCTCAAGAGCAGGAGGATTGTGGGAGGTGGAGAGAAACTTGTGGGGGAGAGAGAGGCTTGTGGAAAGCCGGTGGTGGCAGTTGAGGCTCTGAGGGTTTTTCCTGAGAGGCTGTTTTGTTTGGCGTGTGTGGTTCTAAAAATAAAGTTAGTTTCTTTTGACAAGTGGCTCCTGATTGTGCCCAGCCAGACTGCGGCATTTGGTGGCTCGCACGGGGAGCAACTGAGGGTAAGTGAAACTGCTCGCCCCTGAGGGCAGGGCGAGAGGATGGGTAGCCATTTTAAGATTCCTCTTTTATTTTGCTTCACTTTTGTTTTAAGTTGCCTGTCCCTGGAGATGAGTGAGACGGAAGAAAAACCGCTCACATCTGAGGAAAAACTATTTACGTCTGAGGAACAGATAGGGAGAAAGGACGGATGCACATGTCAGGAGGATAGAAAGGCTATAATGACTTTTTGTTGTTCCCTTTTTATTTCATTCTGTCTCGGTTTTGTTTGGCGTCATCTTGTTGGGTTGTATTATAGTAGAAATATGGGATCAGAAATTAGTAAAAAACAAACTGAAAGAGTGTTAAGTAAATTGTTAGAGGAAGGAGGCATCCCAGTAAAATCAAGAGCAGTCAGGGCATACGTTGATACAATACAGAAATGTAGCCCATGGCTTTTTAAGGAGGAGTTGTTAAATATATCACAATGGAACCATCATGGTGAAGATTTAAAAAGAATAGAAAAGAAAAGCCCAGGGACTCTGCCAGTTGGCACATTGCCATTGTGGACGTTCATATCTTGTTTGCTTAGTCCAAAGCCTTCAGTTCAGACAATGGTAGAGGAAGGAGAAGACATAATGATTCAAGTAAAAGAGACTGAGGATAGTCCACGTTTTGCATTTACTATCCCTGCACTGAATCATGAAGGTCCTGATCAGAGATATGAATGGAAAGTACTCCCTCAAGGGATGGCTAACAGCCCAACTATGTGTCAAATTTATGTTAACAAAGTAATCCAGCCACTTAGAAATCAAAATCCTGAAATACAAATATTTCACTATATGGATGATGTATTATTAGCACACAAAGATAAAAACACATTGCTAGAATGTTATGCCACACTTACAAACTTATTAAAAAAATATAATCTAGAGATAGCAATAGATAAAGTACAATTAAATTTTCCAATTAATTATTTAGGAGTTCTATTATCCTCAACCATGGTCCGTCCACCAAAAATTCAAATACGAGTAGATCAACTCAAATCACTTAATGACTTTCAAAAGTTATTAGGAGACATAAATTGGATAAGGCCTTATTTAGGTATACCAACAGGAGAGTTGGGACCTTTATTTGATATCCTAAAAGGTCCATCAGATCCAAATTCACCCCGAATGTTAACGCCTGAAGCAAGAAAGGCATTAAAAATCATTGAAACATATATGGAAAATATGCATTTGGATAGAATTGATATAAGTTTGCCTTTATTATTTATTGTACTACCAACAAAAAATATTCCTACAGGAGTATTTTGGCAAGAAGGTCCATTATTATGGATACATTTATCTTATTCTCCTAACACTATTCTTACTAGGTATCCTGAGGCTGTAGGACAATTAATACTCAAAGGAATAAAAGCAGCAAAGGGAGTGTTTGGAATTTCTCCCCATATAATTATTACTCCATATACTATGAATCAAATTGATGAGTTAGCTAATGAGTTAAATACTTGGGCAATAATCATGTGCAAATCTAATGTTTCATTTGATAACCACTTACCATCTAATCCTTTATTGTCTTTTTGGTCACTGCACTCTGTAATTTTTCCAAAAATGACAAGAAAAACACCTATCATGAATGCTCCAAATATATTCACTGATGGGTCAAATAATGGTACAGCAGCAGTAGTTACCCCTGATCAAACTTTTACATTTTTAGTACCCAAACAATCAGCTCAAAAGGTAGAGTTTAATGCAGTTTTACAAGCTTTTGTGATGTTTAAAGATTCTGTATTTAATTTATTTTCTGATAGTCAGTATGTAGTTAATGCTATAGTATCTCTTGAAGATGCTGGTAGGATTTCCCCTTCTTCTACTGTTTTCTCTTTGCTTTCCACTATACAAAGTCTAATCTGGGACAGAAAAGATCCATTCTTTATAGGACATATCAGGGCACATACAGGATTGCCTGGAGCCCTTAGTTTGGGCAATGATTTAGCAGATAAAACTACACATGACATACATATTTTCTCTACACTAGAAGAAGCTATAAATTTTCATAAAAAGTTCCATGTCAATGCTAATACTTTACAAAAGCGTTTTAAAATAACCAAGGAACAAGCTAGACAAATAATAAAACAATGTCAAAATTGTGTGACCTTTTTACCACAAGTTAATCTTGGAGTCAATCCTAGAGGATTGATACCTAACCATATTTGGCAGATGGACGTCACACACTTGCCAGAATTTGGAAAATTAAAATATTTGCATGTTACAGTTGATACTTCTTCTGGATTTTTGATGGGCTCCCTTCATGCCGGAGAAAAAACTAAAGATGTTATAGCTCATTGCTTACAAAATTTTGCCACTGTGGGTGTTCCAAAACAGTTAAAAACAGATAATGCCCCTGGTTATACTTCTACCTCTTTTAAACAATTTTGCTCAACATTTGGCATTACTCATATAACAGGAATCCCATACAATCCACAGGGACAAGGCATAGTTGAAAGAGCTCATCAAACTATTAAAATGTACTTATTAAAGCAAAAAGAAGGAATTGGGAAGGGGTATATATTCCCCAAAGATAAACTTAAAATAACCCTTTTTACTCTAAACTTTTTAAATTTGGATTCATCAGGACTTAGTGCTGCGGAAAGGCATATGTGTCCAAAAAATGTACATAAGCCCAAGGTACTTTGGAAGGATATTCTAACAGGACAATGGAAAGGTCCTGACCCAGTAATTGTCTGGAGTCGGGGGTCTGTTTGTGTGTTTCCACAGGGAGAACAGCAGCCGATTTGGATTCCAGAGAGATTAACCAAGGTCCTGACCCAGTGATTGTCTGGAGTCGGGGGTCTGTTTATGTGTTTCCACAGGGAGAACAGCAGCCGATTTGGATTCCAGAAAGATTAACTAAAGCGATTTCTACAGACCAAAAAGAAGATGATTTGGCTCAAATCCATAACAACTGATATCCAAAACTCCAGTTTGGCTATTCTTACATCTGCAACAGAACCAGGATGCTTTTTTCAATATCTATTTTATTATTGCCCTTTGCCATATCATGAAGTTCTATTTTGTTTTTTGAGCTCATATAGACCTAGGTTAATGTTTTGCTGATCAGTTCTATTTTTTGACTATAGAGTTTTTAAACATTGCAATGGAGATTTCACCTGTAAAAAGTTATAAGGCCTTTACTATAATGTTATGTGTTGTATGTATTATATTATGTGTGCACACTTGTGTTTTGTGTTATATGTTTGAATGTATGTATGTCCATATATCATATAAGATGAGCGCTCATGATAAAATGGATCCAAATTTTTTTTTTCCTCACGTGATTTATATGGTTTAATTTAAATTGGGTAAACAACTGTTGAGGATTGTTTTAATATGTTAACAAAAAAGAAGGTTATCAGATCTGTTTGTTTACTTTCACCTTTCCTTTTCATTATATTTAATAATTTCTTAAAGATAATGTAAATTGTTAAGAAAATTGTTTTCTTTTAGTGCCTTCTGTAATGTTACATAATTTTTTCTTTAGCCATTATTGCCAGAATTCCTATCTTCATCCCAGTGCTGGTGAAGACAATGTAAATTGTTAAGAAAATTGTTTTCTTTTAGTGCCTTCTGTAATGTTACATAATTTTTTCTTTAGCCATTATTGCCAGAATTCCTATCTTCATCCCAGTGCTGGTGAAGTCAAAGATAAAACCAATCTACAGCTTCTACAATAGCC